TTTATATATATATATATATATATATATATATATATATATATATATATATATATACAGTGGATATAAAAAGTCTACACATCCCTGTTAAAATGTCAGGTTTCTGTGATGTAAAAAAATGAGACAAAGATAAATCATTTCATAACTTTTTCCACCTTTAATGTAACCTATAAACTGTACAACTCAGTTGGACAACAAACTGAAATCTTTTAGGTGGAGGGAAGTAAAAATGAAAATCTAAAATAATATGGTTGCATAAGTGTGCACACTTTTAAACTAATACTTTGTTAAAGCACCTGTTGATTTTATTACAGCATCTTTAATGTTGCTGTAGGCCTCTCGGCAGCCTCCCAGACCAGTTTTCTTCTCGTTTTTTTTTCATCAATTTTGGAGGAACGTCCAGTTCTTGGTAATGTCACTGTTGCGCCATATTTTCTCCACGTGATGATGACTGGCTTCACTGTGTTCCATGATATATGAAACTTTTGTATCCTTCTCCTGACTGATACCATTTAACAATGAGATCCCTCTGATGTTTTGGAAGCTCTCTGCAGACTATGGCTTTTGCTGTAGGATGCAAATAAGAAAATGTCAGGAAAGACCTACTAGAACAGCTAAACTTATTTGGGGTAAATCAGAGGCACTTCAGATGATGGCAGGTGTATACTGACTCTTATTTAACATGATTTTAAATGTAATTGCTTAATTCTGAACACAGTTACATCCCCAGTTATAAGAGGGTGTGCACACTTATGCAACCACATTATTTTAGTTTTTGTGCTTATTCCCCCCCCTAAAATATTTCAGTTTGTTTTTCATTTGAGTTGTACAGTTTATAAGTCACATTAAAGGTGGAGAAAGTTCTGAATTGATTTATATCTTTGTCTCATTATTTTACATCACAAAAACTTGACATTTTAACAGGGGTGTGTAGACTTTTTATATCCATTGTATATATATATATATATATATATATATATATATATATATATATATTTAGATATATATAGATATATATAGATATATATAGATATAGATATATAGCAGGTAAAATAAGTATTGAACATGTCACTCATTCTTCTCAGTAAATATATTAAGGTGCTATTTGTGACAGGCGCGGCGTCAGACCCCAGCCCTTCTCACTAATTTGTGACCTAAGGACTAGCCAATCTAAAACTGCACGTAACAATGCCACTCTCAGCAGCTGCACCCTTCACAAAGGTTTTCCAGCTCACTGGACCCCAATCTAGGTACCAGCAGCCTGGGTGCGATTGTTACTGGGTCAGGTTAATTACGCAATCAACCCTTCACACTGCCACCACCACCTTTTTACAGAGAAGGAGGAAACACAAATCTTAGCAGTAACACTATGAGGTTTGTATAAGTGTCTGTATACACACTGTCACCACAGACAGATGTATCCAGAGGCTTTAAAACACACAGTAGCACTCTTCAGAGACAGGGATTCTTAGTTTGCGTTAAAGAGCTTTAGAAACAGTTCAACGCTTTTCAGAAAATAGGATTTATTACTAAAAAGGTCAAAATGGTGCAATAAAAATATTTACAGAAAAGATGTAACCAATATATATATATATATATATATATATATATAAAATAGAGAGAGCAATAACACAACAGAGAGATAACAGAAAGAAGTTTAAGAAGGTAGGATACTTGCAGAAGTCCTTGGTTTAAGCAGCATTCAAGTGTCCTGAACAAAAGGGTGCCTTTTCTCCCAAAGTTGGTTCCTGATGTTAAAAGAGAGAATTTCTTCATCATCCTCTCTAGGCATGACAGCCTGTTTTCTAGTGTCCCAGCAGGGGGTGTCTACTGAAGCCAAGGGCCAATCGCAAAGACCACATTCCTTGCAAGGGGAGGGGGGCTGGAGGGAGAGAGAATGATATTTACAGAGTATGATACAAGATGGTGGATCTTAGCAAAATGGTTGTCCGCGTCCAATCGCCACACTATTGACATTAAATGTTCATCGCATGTCACTAACAACCCATGCAATCCACACAAACAAAGAAACCAAAACAAATAAGTTCAGAAATTAAGTTATATGTAATAAAATGGAATGACATAGGGAAAAAGTACTGAACACGCCAACTGAAATGTATTTAATACTTCGTACATAATCCTTTGTTGATAATGATAGCTTCAAGATGCCTTCTGTATGGAGAAACTAGTCGCATGCATTGCTCAGGTGTGATTTTGGCCCATTCTCCCACACAAACAGCCTTCAAATCTTCATGTGTTGATGAAGGAAATAGTTTGATCAGACTAGCCTGGTCCAAACAATATAAACTTAAATCAAACCTGGAGTTAGACTTTAATTTGAGTCCTGTATAAAACCTTGCAGATTAATCAAACAAATGTATATCCAGAATCAATAAGTGGTCAGTAGGAGCATAATTCCTGAAGCCTTTGTGCTTCCCGGCGGAGCCTGACGATGGCGGCGGCGGAGAGAGCTCGTGCTAGGAGCTCTAGCAACGAGCCTTCCCTGACCGACCCCCCCTATTTTTTCGGTCTCAATTCCCCCCAGCGGTGTGAAGCCCTAGATGGCGGAAACATACCTCGGCCGGGTGGGCTTACTTTGATGGGCAGCGGTGCGCGGTTGGAGGAGCCGGAGAGCAGTGGAGAGAGACTGGGACTCTGAGCCTGGTTGCCGGGAGACGAGGAGGCGCGGCCGGGACACGTGACCAGCCACGGTGCATCCCTGGGAAGCAGGGACGCCGGCCGGCCGAAGGCTGACAGGAGGAAGGAGAGTCGGATGAAAGTGGAAGCCGGCTGCCTCCTCGATGTGACTGGGAGACGCTCACTGCTGCCTATACCCCCCCTGGCTGGCTGTCCGTGCCTGGGCCTGGTGGACCCAGGAATCCCAGGAAACCCACCCTGCCTCCCTGGGACGGATCCTAAGGAGGAAAGGAGTGAGAGAGGAAAGGGGAGAAAGGAGAGAAAGAAAGAAAGAAAGAAAGAAAAGGGAAAGAAAAATAATACAGCATCGGAAACCCTGAGGAATCCCCCCCCAGGACTGAGCAGCAGTGATGGCCCTCCACATAAGCATGGAACCACCGTCCTGAGAAGGGAAGGGTGAGTGAGAGCTACTGGGGGCTTATTGTGTTGGGGACCCCTGAGTGACATAGGAGACCAGGTGGTGAAAGAGGGGAGGAGAGGATTCCCAGGGGTTGGAAGAGAAGAAGAGAGGAGGCCCAGGTGTCCTAGGAAAATAAAACATAAAAAATCGCAAGTGTGCCTAGTCCAGCAATTATAAAGGAGAAGTATAATCCCATCTTGAGGATACAGAAAGAAAAAATTAATAAAAGAAATTAACAGAGGATATGAAGAATAAAGGTCCCAAGGCAGCAGGGCCCAAAGGGTCTCACAGGAACAATAAAGAAATTCACATCATATGGAAATAGTACGTCAGAAAGGGCCCAGGGCGCAAGCACAAAAGGGGAAATGGACACTAGTTCAGGTAATAGTCCGAGATTATCATTGGGCATGAATAGCAGCTGCAGCCAACAAATAGAGGATGGCCCGGGAAAAAGAGAATCAGATGGGGAACTACAAGCACCAAATAAGAAGGAGATGATAGAAATGTTTCAGAATTTGGAAAAAATTATAAAACATGAAATGACAGCTATTCGAAATGACCTAGGGCACCTGCTATTAAGAATAGAAGAAACAGAGGAGAAAGTTAAAATCCAGGCCCAAAACAATGACAATTTAAGGAAAAAAATAAATCAATTGGAAAACACCCAGAAAAAATTGACCTATAGGATGGAAGTCCAAGAAGATAAAGAAAGAAGGTGACCTTAGGGTACGAGGAATTCCAGAGTCTGCAAAAGGCGAAACACTATATGAACTAGTGAAAAAAATCTTGAACTCCATAAGAGATAGACCTGAAACAGACGGGATCAAATTTGATGGAGTGTTTAGAATAGGAATGCTTAAACAGGCTACTGAGAAGGAAAGACCGAGAGATATAATTGTCCAGTTCCAAAAATTCGGGGTCAAAGATGAGATTTGGAAGAAGACCAAGGGAAGAGCATTAATTAAGTATGGAGATTTGACTATTCAAATTTATGCGGACTTAACAGTAAAGACCCTATGGAGAAGGAGATCCCTGAGACCCCTGTTGGAGCAAATGAGGAAACAGAATGTGCAGTATAAATGAGGTATCTCAGCATCTCTAGTTGGCTGGAAAAATGGGGTCACAGCCTATTTGAGATTTCCGGAGGAACTAAGAGACTTTTGCGAGAGACTGGATTTGCAAAGAATGGAGATAGCGGGGTGGGAAGAAGAAGAAGAAGATAAAGGAGATATAGATGTTTCAAGAAAAGAGGACTGGCAGCGGGTCGGGGGGAAGGGGAGAGGAAGACTTTGGGGTTGGGGAGGGAAAGGAGGGAGAATTAAGTAGAAATTGTGTTTTGTTTTTTTTTTTTTTTCTTTTCTCCCACTTCCATCTCTCGCCCCTGGTCTCTCCCCTCCGGATGTCGAGGTCCTTTAGAACGTTCTGGTGAAGGGAGGGAAGTAGAGATTCTTCTTGAGCTTGGAGGATAGAGAGAGGAGATTTTGGGGGGGGTCGGAGGAGAGGCAAGCCGTCCATGGGCGGAGCTTACGCCCTAAGTTTTAAATCAAAGGTGGAAACAGATCCACAAATGATTTGTAGGCAGTTTATAGGCCTAAAAACAGGTAGGGGAAAAAAAAGAGAGGGGGGGGGGGATGGGGGGTGGGAGATGGGTGTCGGGTGGGAGGATGAGGGGGGAGGGGAGGTGGGGCTAAAATACTGCACGATAGAAGGGCCTAATAGGAAGAGGTACATTAGAAGAGAGATAGACAGATTAAAGAAGGATGGAAGAAATACAGGTTATAACATATAATGTGTGAACGGGTTGAACTGTCCTGGGAAAAGATTTAAGTTGTTTAAAGAGTTACACCATAGGGCAACGTCAGTGGTATTTTTACAGGAAACACATTTTGAGATAAAGTCAAATGTGAAATTAAAATCTAAATATTATCCAACATGGTACTACGCTGACTCCCCAATTAAAAGAGCAAAAGGAGTGGCAATAGGGTTGGCAAAGAACATGAGATTTGAACTGGAGGATAGAAGAACTGATCCGGAGGGGAGATTCCTGTTTTTGAAAGGTAAATTACAGGGAATCGAGTGTACATTAGCCAATATATATTGCCCCAACAAAAAGCCGGAGAACTATTTGAAGGGCCTGTTGAAAAAACTGATGGACTTTAAAAAAGGGCGTTTGATAGTAGCAGGAGACTTAAATCTCTGTATGGATCCCCAAAAGGATGCAACCTCCCCTGTGCGGAGAGAGGGGGGTGGGTCTCTGAGAGCTTTGAAGAAAGCGATTCACGAGTACCAACTGGTGGACACTTGGAGAATAATGCATATGAGAGACAGAGACTACACCTTCTTCTCTAAGGCACATGAGATATATTCGAGATTGGATTATATTTTAATAGATCATCAACTCATAGAGTTATTGGTTAAAATAGAAATAGAGATGAGTACATTCTCGGACCATGCCCCTGTCACAATGAAAATGGGATGGGGAAGACGGTGGACGGGAGGTTTAGGATGGAGGTTAAATGAGGCCCTTCTTATGGATGAGGACATAGCGCAGAAGATTGGGGAAGAGATCAAGTTATATTTTAACCCCTTTGCGCCGGCCGCACGCAGATGTGCGGCCTCCTGGCGTCTGGGCCTAGACGCCGAGCGGCCGCACATTTGCGTCCATGGAACTAAATACATATGTGCTGAGAGCGCGCGCCCTGCGCGCTCCCCGCACACATGTGTAGTACTCACGGAAAGGTCCCGCTCCGCTCTTTCTAACGGGACCTTTCCCGATCATGTGACCGCCGTGACGCCTCATCACGGCGGTCACATGATTCCTAAACCACGCCCCCACCGCCCCGCCTCCCGACGTCAGAATCTCTTAAAGGGCCGGGAGGCGTCGGCGGGAAGGGGTTAAGGAGAATGAGACAGAGGAAGTATCGACAGCTACAGTATGGGAAAGCCACAAGGCATATATAAGAGGTATCCTGATTGCGATGGGAGCAAGGAAGAAAAGAGAAAGAAGAGAGAGGGTTAGCGGGCTCCTAAAAGACATCCTGGATCTAGAGCAGATACAAAAGAAGAAAATAACAAGAGAAATAGGACAGAAATTAATGGATAAATAAGATGAATTAGAGAGATTGATGGACGAAGAGAGGAGAAGGGTATATAATAAAGTACTAAATGAAAGATATAGATGGGGCGACAGACCAGGAAAATACTTAATGAGAGCTCTGAATAAAAAGAAAAATAGAAATTATATAGAAAGGATAAAAAACCCTAAAGGAGAGTTGGTTTATGCAACCAAAGAGATTATTAAAGTGTTCACGGAATAGTATAGAAAACTGTATAATATCAGTCCCCATGGCTCTTCAAAGGAAAATGTAAAGGATATTAACGAAAAAAGGATGATATATTTAAAAAATGCAGGATTACCAAAGTTAAGTGAAATACAATTGAACGCCTTGGACGCGGAAATTTCCCAGGATGAAATAAAAGTAGCATTAAAAAGTACAGGGGGTGGAAAAAGTCCAGGACCGGATGGGTATACAGTTAAGTACTATAAAAAATATAGTGAAATATTGTTACCTAAGCTGAAGAAGTATATGAACGACCTGGGAGGCGGGATGGAGGGGAGAGGAGAATCTCTTCAGGCCCATGTTGTACTCATTCAGAAGGAGGGAAAAGACCCTTCCCAGTGTTCTAGCTATAGACCAATTTCATTATTGAACACCGATACTAAGTTGTACGCAAAGGTTCTAGCAAACAGGCTGAAAGATCTAATGCCTGAATGGATTCACGGAGATCAGGTGGGCTTTGTCCCAGGGAGAGAGGGTAGAGACAACGGGTTGAGAACACTGATGCTCATTCAGAAAAGTAGAAAAGGGAAGGCCCCGACGGTACTATTGTCGATTGATGCCAAAAAGGCGTTCGATAGAGTGGACTGGGGCTTCATGATGGACAACTTAGAAGTGTTGGGGATTGGAGAGAGAATGCGTGAGTGGATAGGTAAATTATATAGGGAGCCCACCGCAATTATCACGGTAAATGGGGAGAGGTCGGAATCCATTGGAATGTCCAATGGAACAAGACAGGGCTGCCCAGTGTCCCCCTTGCTGTTTGTTCTGTCATTGGAACCCCTGTTGTCTACGATAAGGAATAGTGGAGCGGTAAAGGGAATCCAGATAGAAAATACAGAGCATAAAGTAGCGGCCTTTGCGGACGACTTATTGTTTTATGTAGACAACCCTCGAATAACATTACCAAATATAATTAGGATCTTGAAGGAATATGGCGATCTATCAAATTTAAAAATTAATCCAACAAAAACAGAGATCTTGAACATCAACGTACCAAAGAGTGAAAAGGAAAAGCTACAAAAAGAGTTCCCCTTTACATGGAGAGAAAAAGATTTAAAATATCTAGGAATAAAACTTGCTATCTCATATAAACAACTGTATAGATTAAACTATATTTCTTTGATAAATGAGATTAAGGAAGAATTAAAAATATTAGAAGGTGGAAACCCATCATGGATAGGACGTATAAACCTAGTTAAAAATGGTAATCATACCTAAAATACTGTATAGATTCCAAATGGTCCCAATTAAACTGCCAGAGGTGTTTTTTTAAGATAATGAAAAAAATGTTAATAAGATATATCTGGAGGAACAAAAAATCAAGAATATCATATGAAATACTGAGTAGAACTAAAGAGAAAGGGGGAATGGGACTACCTGATGTCAAGAGATACTATAAAGCAGTAATTTTAGCAAGAATTTATGATTGGACATTCAACCACAAGGGGAAGAGTTGGGTAAAAATTGAAAACGAATTGAGTGGAATTAGTTTGAGTAAGATGATATGGGTTCCAGCACATCTTAGAAGAGTTAAAGAAAGCACAAGTATTTACACTTTAAATGTTTTAAGGGTATGGGATAATTTACACAAAAGTAGGAAATGGGAATTCAATTCTATATTAATGCCTCTTGTAAATTCTGATTATTTCCCCCCAGGAAAGGATGAGATATCTGGTAGATGGTTTAAAAGGGAAGATATCCAACTGAGAGATGTACTGGTAGAGGGGGAATTGAGACCATTTAAAGAATTAAAAGAGAAGAAGGGAGAAAGTTTTATTGGAATAGACGAGTGGAAATATCATCAATTAAAATGCTTTATTGGAAAACTACCAAAACCCCTGAGATTAAAAAAGGATTGGAATATGTTTGAAAGGTTGTTGGAAACACGTAGAGATGGGAAACATGGAATTGCCAAAGTTTATAGAATACTCACAGAATTAGACACAGACACAAAGTTAATTTTTATAACGAAATGGGAAAGAGATATGGAGGTGGTGTTAGACGAGGACCAACAGAACAAGATATATAGATTGATACACGAGAATGTTAGTATGAGAGATGTGGAGATTAACTATAAATGTTTGACACGATGGCATATCACACCGAGTATTGAGCACAAGATGAGGGGGGAGAATTCTAAAATGTGTTGGAGAGGTTGTGGGGAGGAGGGCACGGTGTTTCACATTTGGTGGCAATGTCCGAAAATTCAGGCTTTCTGGAAGATAATAGTTAACTCAATAGAAATAATAACTGGAAATGACATAGGGTTAGACCCAACGATATGTTTCCTACATAGTGTTGGGATCACAGTAAATAAATATAAAGAATCAGGCGTTTGGTACTATTTAAATGCTGCAAAGGGGTTGATACCCAAGTTCTGGCAAAAATCAGAGGTGCCGAAGGAGGAAGACTGGATCAACAGAGTAAATCAGATAAGTAGAATGGAAAAATCTTACTATATGCAGGAAGATAGGATGGAAATATACTATACAAGATGGGAAAAATGGGAAAAATCAGGACTGAAAGAGAAGTATAGAAAACTATATATTAAGAAACTATTGGGCCTCGAGAGAGTATAGAACGTGCAAAGGGGAGGGAGGGGGAAGGGGGGTGGGAAAGGGTTGGGAGGGGAGGGAAAGAAAAGATTTTATTAGAAGGGGCAAGGTAGAAATGTATGGAATATTTATATGTATTGTTATCTCTTCTTATGGAATTTTTTTTTGTAAAAAATGAAAAACGAATAAATATTTAAATTAAAAAAAAAAAAAAAAAAAAATTCCTGAAGCCTTTGCTGTGTCAATGTTTCTCTATTTCTCTCTGCTTCTATGTAACCAATAATTTTCAAACTTCAAAGACAGGTTAGGATCCGTCTGTTGTCTGTAATGTAGCAGTACCTCGGTTGGAGCAGCTAAATAGCTTCCCAGGGTTCTTTTCCCAATAGTTGCCCCCTCAACCAAGCACACAGTTCCAGTCATTCCTTTGGCTCAATGAACAGTCTAAGGGTATTCTCTTTTTGGTGTTTTTATTTTTGGGTAACTTGGATATGGATAGGAAGTTTTACTCCTATACTATGTATAAACAGAAGGACACACTTTCTTCTTTAGAGCTATGAGTCTTGTAGTAGCAACGTGAGAAATCTGAGCAGAGTCATCTCACTAAGAATTAAATAGACTAAGCTTTTCAGAACCCCGGGCACAATGTTCCCTTTACACACAGCTGACTCTATAGCACCAGAGAGGTGGCAACACTCTAAGAAACTTCTTAGTACTGGTGCTTTTTTACTACAACCACTTGTGCACCCTCCCACAGGTTTCCTGTGTATGAGAGAAACAGCAAAAACAGTGTAAAAAAGGTTACAAAATGGAAGGAGAGAGGGGTTCCAAGCATCCATATAGTGTAGCTTTGAAATTTTATTAATAGACTAAATAAGAATAATAACAATGCACTCACAAACATGGATGGGTTATGGCATTTCAATTGCTGCAGGTCCTGGGTCATAATGGCTGGAATGATGGAATCGCCAAAAGAAGCTCAGACACTGATAGAGTCCATGTAGCCACCAGGGACAGGATCTGCTGCAGCTGCTGGAGCCAGAGAATCACAAGGACCACCAAGGAAATAGCACAGTGACAGCACAAAGAGTCCACCTCACGCAAAAGCAGTTGGGATACGCATTTCGGGATGCTCAGGTTCCCCAGCCTGTTTACAACTCATTTAGCAACTTAAGTCTAGTCAATGCTAACCTCCAGGAAACATTCTTTATATAATTTTATGTCAGTGTTTTTTCCTGTTTATCCTTCATTTAATTTTTATTATGTTTTATTTCCTACTTATGCTTATATCTCTATTATCTATCTTGCTCTACCATTTAAAATTGGGATCTTGGATTAATTATTGCCTATTTGATGCAGATTATTTTGTTTGTTTTTTGGGGGACAGATGATGCCTTGAGTTGGATCCAGCACCGCTGGCATTTTTTTACTTTTTTTCTTGTTGCACCAAAAATAGTGTTGCAGCATTGCAAGTAGGTATGTTCCTGGATCACCAGATTACAGACAAAGCAAGAGGTGGGTAGACAGGTACAGAAAGGTAACATCTGTAGACAAAAATGAGCTACTGAACAAGTAGGCTACTCTCCCTCTATGTATCTCAAACGTTAATTTAAAGTTTTTGACTACAGTATATCGTTAAGGTCTTTATTTCTTCATTCATGTTGCTTTCCCTGAAAGGTCCTCTTGTACAAACTGTCAGACATAGTTCCTGCTATAAAAAGCCTGTACAGCTAAGCCTATAAACGCCTGTGCCAAAACTCCCCTTGCTGAACAATCTGCCTACAAGATGGAAAAATAAGATATTGTTGTGCTTAACACTTCTTCTCTACACCCATAAAATGATAGCATTTCTGTCTTTTTTTCATTTTTTTTATATTTACATATACCATTTCTGTTCTATGAAACACAGTTCAGCACACAGTACATAATTAACTTAGGCTCTCTGCCAATATACAAAGGTATCATTTAAAATGAGAAAGATTACAACACTCCACAAAATGACCCTATTTGTCAAAGGGAATTAAAGCCTTGTAAGCAAGAGCAGGCCCAGCGCACAGAAACCTATCTTCACACAGCCTGAGCTCATTCATTTTCAAAAGCTGTTTAAACCTCTTCCTGGCATCAAAATTAAAACTATTTATAGATATGCTTGTAACATAATATTTACTTCTGCCTCCAGTGAGAATTCTTTTTTAAAATGTCATTGAGCTATTTACTATGGCACAGTTACTAATCAAGTGAATACATCTCTCTTGGGGATAATATTCCATTTTCAGCTATTTAAGATGGGTATAAAGTGTAGAGTTGGTTTCCAGTGTAGTCCCCATTTAGTATTTACTGCCAGTGCGAAATGAAGCACAGTACGTTGGTCATTACTCAGTGACC